CAAACTGAGAGACCATTTTGAAGGCTCAGGAAACCTTTGCAGGTGTTTTGAGTTGATTAGCTGATTGGCATGTCACCATATTCTAATTTGTTGAGATAGTGAATTGGTGGGTTTTTGTTAAATGTGAGCCAAAATCATCACAATTAAAAGAACCAAAGACTTAAACTACTTCAGTCTGTGTGCATTTAATTTAATACACGAGTTTCACAATTTGAGTTGAATTACTGAAATAAATGAACTTTTCCACGACATTCTAATTTATTGAGATGCACCTGTATTTGCATCACTTTGATTGTTCCCTGTAGATCTCACCTTCTCACGCGCAGCCCCACGATTGGTCGATTATGTACAATACCTGCATGTTATTGGTCAAACTGCTTTGGATGTTTTAGGCAATATTAATATCCTGGCAAGGACGTGTTCCGTATGAATGGCGCATATGGCCACCCTAATACACACAGATTAGACTCTGGATATGATTAGTAAATCAGGCCACTACACGATGATTGAATCATCATCAATAAGTAACCAGCGTCATCTGATCAGATTTTCTCTAACAATTTTTGATATAATAAATGTGATTTATAAACACACAGTTATAGCAGCCAGAGAAAATCTAATTTAAAAAAGTCAAGGGTCAAGAGCCCAACTAAAGCTTATCTCCACAACGGTGACTTCATGCATATTGCAATTTTATACATCAATTTTTTTTAAGTGCAGATATCTTGATATATTATCAGACTATAATCGCCAAGTGAAAATTTCAAATTATGACATCCATAAACAAGTGCTGAAAATATAGTTGTCCCTCCCTGCACTGTATTTTGACAGTGTATATAGACCCCAATTTTACAATATTTTACACAGTAGGGTTTGATCTATATTATCAGCTCTGCTGGCCTAGAGAAGCAAAATGTGTAACAATAGGATGGGAAAGTTGTAACAAATGGGAAAATCCGGACATACAGAAGTGCAGATTTGGAACCTAGCTGGAACCTATGATAATCAATGGATATACGCTACGAAGATGTCCATGCTTGTCTACCTTTCAAGTTAATCTATGCCTGAAACCAATCAGGATCATGAATCCTGAAGTAGTGATATAAATTGCTGATTGCTGCTGTATGTGATGTGTGAGCAAAGTGGCCTATAAACTCTTTGCTGAGTGTTGAAACTGACTTCTGCTATTAAAACTGAAAATAATATTTTCTTCTGTGATTCTAGATGCAGTTCCCATGTGTTTTCTGACAGAATAAAGGATTTATGGTTTAACATTTGAAGGCAAAGAAATGTAAAGCCATAAATATTAGTATTGTATTTTTGCAAATTATGATTATTATTATTAAATGCTATTTTTTTTTTACTTCACAGTACAATAAGGAATGGTTCATGTTGTTGTTGTTGTTTCCCCCCGACCCCCACCCCACACACACACACACACACACTTACCTGATCACTTGCCTGATTGTTCTTTCTCCTTTAACTGAAGTAAGATTCTTAGCAGTTTTCATTTCAGTGATCATGCAGGTGTGTATGTATAAATAGTTAAATGACTCTAATGAGAAATCTTTATTATTATTAAAAAATTCGGTCCCACTTTATGTTAGGTAGCCTTAACTACGATGTACATTTAAATTAATCATTTGATACAATGCACTTATTGTGCACATACATGTTTTTACATTGTACTTTTACATTTTACTTTTTTTTTTAATGTAAATTATAGAATGTTTCTATATGTAGTTACATATGTAATTAATTTCTGTAATTACATTTATAATTACATTGTTGACCCATCACTTACAGCTTAACCCACCCTTAAACCTACCCATACCACCAAACCTGTCCCTGACCTTACCTTTATCCCACCTCAATAGCAGTAAAAGTGTTTTGCAATACAATATGACCACAATAATTACATTGCACTTATTTTTTATGTAAGTACATAGTAGTTAAGGCCACCTAATATAAAGTGTGACCAAAAAATCAATAAAAAGAAACGCAGTGAGAGAATCATCATGTAAATAAAATATACATCCAACTTCATGATACTCACACAGGGTCAAAAGTCACAGCAGGTTCATCACTGAGATAAGGGGGCTGAATCATGGAGTTGTTACTCTTCATAGACACACAGCTGAATCCTGGAGATGCTGCTCTCAACAGGAGCCTCCTGCTCTCTCTCTCCTCATACACACTCATTTTATAAACAGGTTTCTCCTCCTCTCTCCTCATGCACACACACTTTATAGGCTGTTCTGTTTCTCTTTTTTTCCTAGATGAGAGACTTGATTTCAGGCCTATATGTGGAAACAGAGAAAATACACTGAATTTTTACACAATTGAGTTTCAGTACAGGCTGGTGCTCAGAAGTGAGGAGGCACAGTGACTAAAATGCCTGGACGCCCCGTAGTCATGGTTTACAGTACTTTTAGAGCAGTTAAGGGCTGTTGTTATGCACAAAGCACAAAACACAGATGCAGTAACACACTTCTGGCACAGTAATATAGGGATAATGCTAATAATGATCCAACAGAATTACTAAGAGCGGAAATCCTCATCACATAATTTCTTGAAAAATCTGATTCTCACAAGGAATAACAGTCAGTATTATAATGCTTGCTTTTCTGAAATGAGACATCCTTGTTGATGTTTGAGGCCAACAAATATACACACTGGAGGGCACAGCCTTTGAAATGTGACACATAGTGAGATATTCAGCTGCAGACCCCCAGTATCAGCAGTTTCAGGACAGCAGCAGCGTCAGGGCAAAAGTGAGGGCAGAGACAGGCCATGTACACATTGTAAAATTTCAGGAGTAACAACCACATTTAAATATGAGAGTGAATCCTCTAAATTATCAATCTGTGTGTACGGAACAGAATTCATTCTCAAAATTTTGATGATTGACGAATTATAACCATAGAATAGTTCTGGCTTCTCACACTTTTGGTATGAGCTATTGGAGTTATGTGCAACAGACTTCTGTATTCTGTAAAACAGGTCACATCAAATCCGGGCAGATCTTTTGTGTTTCATTAAATACAGAGCTGTTTTACTCAAGATGCGTTCAGAGGAGATACCAAAGATAATCATAACCGATGTCCATCACACATGCATTGATATTTAATTTTTTTCTTCTTCTTACTAACATTCTAAAACATTAAAATGGAAAAGAAAAAAAAAAACGGCAACTGTAAAAAAAACTAGCTAGGTTAGCTGATTACCTTAAACGTCCATAGATATTGTCATCAGTTCATACTGCTGTTAACAGTTTTCCCGACAAGTGGATGCAATGAGACCTGTTATCTGGTTTGGTCAGCTGTCATAAAAGTAATATTACAGTTTGCAGGTATTGGTCTCGATATTTCACAATGGGGCTTATTTCCAAGATAAAGCATTTTCTTCTTTTTCTAGCTAGATCTGGCAACACAAACAAGTCAAGACGTACCTCGTTCCCTGTGCTTTCTCACACTGTGTATACAGAAAACTGACAACACCGAAACATGTTTACATATGTCATTAACAACTAGTTGTTGGGAGTCAATTCGACACACGACATGTACACTATTATATGTGAACAAAGACTCTGTGGTGGTGCTGGATGAAACCAGATTTAATGGCTCCATGTAAACTGAAGTCTTGAGGTAAACTGTACCCAATGGAAAATAAAAGCATTTCAGTTCACATAGCACCACCCCATACGGTTTTACCACTAAAGCTGTAGGAATAAAAACAACAACAACAACAACAACAACGTGTGACACTAAAACAGGCTACTCTGAAGGGGGCCCTAGGGTTTTCTATAGCCAGGGCCCTATGTATTCTTAATCCAGGCCTGTTTGTGAATTTATGGTACATATAGATTGACTTTTGAGCGCTCATCATTTTATTTTAGCCTATTATTATTATTATTCAAACTTTAATTTTTCAAAGTTGAGATTTTAATCATATTAACCTCGTTTTCAGGGATGACATGGAGTTCTTTCTAAAGGAAGGCTAAGACAAAATTTGCTTATAAAGGGGATCTCGTGCATCAATCGCAGTGTAAACAGTGAGAGATCTTGAGGCAGGTGAAAATCGTTTGGTTAACTTGAATATTGGCCTATTGTGCATCCTGTTGCCAAGCCCCGCCTTGATGTAATGATTGACAGGTCAGGGGCGTGATCAGCTCAGAATGCATTGTCAAACCCACATTGACTTAAACTACATTCATCGCATTTTCACATCCACATTGACTTAAACTACATTAATCGCGGGGTATTTAATGAAAATGCAATTTAAACGTCTTAAGTGTAAGTGTCAATGCATTTATAAAAAATAAAAGACATTTAAATCACTATTTTTCTACCCTTTAGATGCACCTTTGGCTCAGAATGCATTTTGAAATTCTCACTGCTTTTTGCTACAATTATCACGCGGTATTATGATGAAAATGCAATCCCACGTACTCTACCCGTAAGTCTAAATGCACTTAGGAAAAACAGCATTTAAATGATAATTTTGCTACAGTTTTTGCTTGGACATGTTAAACATATCTAATCAATTTGGGTAATACATTTTTGTGAGCAAAGAAAACGATCATTATAAATATAACGATCAGTATACTAAACATCGCACATCCTGCGATGTGACTATCGCGCACATCGCGATATCGATGCTGAAATGATATATCGTGCAGCCCTAGCACATATGTATGGTGAAATGTAAATTAAAATACAGAAATACATTGCCATTTTACATATTGCATTTTAAATTGAATTTTGCTACACATATGCTTCCATAGCGTAAATGGTGACTTAATGTTCATTTTAGGGTGAACTAAGAACTAAACCTTTACATACCAAGAATTTTAAGTTGTGTTCTCTGGCAAATGTAGAGACTGCTGGACATCAGACATCAGAGCGAATACCTGAAACAATTTTTAAAAAGACAGCACAACCATCACTAACAGAACCAAGACATAAAACATGTTGCAAATAAATTTGATTTGAGTAATCTCTACTTACATCTGCTTGAAGGATAAGACCATCTAATTTCTGCAAGTGTGCGAGCAGCTGTAGGACCATAGAAGACATGGAAACAATCAGGTATACTACA